TCCTGATGCTGTGGACCCTCTCTGTCTCTCACACTCTTTCCCTATCACCTTCACTTAAGGGGAGGCAGGACAGCACCTTATCCCCCACTCCCAGCCTACATCAGACTTGTAGGGCAGGAGCCTCGATACTGCCCCCAGGGATAGGGCAGAGGCCCTGGCTGGCGGGCTGCCTCAGGCTCTCTGGAGCAATGCCAGCAGTAACTAAGAATGACCTTAAATACCATACCCCGGAACCATCTTGAGGATGGCTGAGACTAGACTTCTGCCTCCCACCTGCACGGGTTACTCTGTGGTCCACACCCTCAAGCAAGTGGCCTCACACAGACTCCTAGGGGGCCCTGCTCCCACTTCTGACTGGTGTTCTAAAGGAGAGCTGGTCAAGATGACCCAGAACTTTGCGGCACCTTTAGCAGAGGTCTGGAGCAGGAAGGGGAAAGGATTAGTCTCTATTCATTAGTATCTGAAAACAATCAAAAGGAGAGGAGACATTTAGGCCGGACTAGGACTAACAGCTATCAAGAATCCACTGCTGTTTTGGGGCGACAACTATGGACAGTCTCCTCCAGTTAATGGGCAAGCCAATGGGGTGCAGCTAAGAATAGACTTTAGGGCAGTGGATTGAGTTCTGGAGCTCTGTTTAGAGAATCCTGGTGACTCAGTGATTAAGTGTTTCGCTAGTAATGGAAAGATGGGTGGTTGGAGTCTATCAGGGGCTCCTGCTTAGAGGGAGACCATGGAGCGCTTTGGGGCAATATTGTCTCTTTACTCTGCAGCATAGCTAGGAGTCTGAAGGACTAGGGGGTAGTGGGTTTGATTTGGGTAAGTTTTGCTTTCCTGCCACACGCTGGGGGCACTAGGCAACCCTGGCTGGCTTCTCCCTGGGTCCCCTGATATCCCACACTTGGCGGGCAGCGCCCACAATAGAGGGGCCCAGGAGGCTGCAGAGCAGGGTGTTGGGGTGTTGGGCGCAGCCAGGCCGTGCTGGGAGGCAGGCGCCTCTGTGGAATTTCTTTATCGGGACTGGAAAGCCGCAGGCTTCTCCTTGGCTTCTTTAAAGCGATCAAGGAAAGACACCTTTCGATCTTTTGTCAGACATGTTGGCCCTTAACAGCTACATTTATTTGGTTTGAAGCGGCCTTGGGAAACGCAGGGAGGGAAAAATCTTTCGTCGGTCATTGGGTGGCCTAGATAACAAGCTTTAAAAAGGAGAGAGAAGAAAGTAAAAAGGTTAATGGATGGATGAGGGGAGGGCGAGAGGCGCCCACCGTGGAGCTTTTACAGCGATTTACCCCCGGCCACCCCCTTATCGGGGCCCTAACTTACCGCAGCGTATGAAGTACATTAAGTCACGTAAACAGCGCGCAGAGAGGAATGCCACCGCGGTGACCTTTCGTGCGCCCGGCTGGCCCACCTCCGCGCCTCGCTGGCGCTGGCGGCGGCGCGCGGGGTCGGTCCGGGGCTGCTTGGGGCTGGGGTCGCCAGGCCCTGCCTCCGCCGCACCGCGTTGCCCTAGGGAAAGGCCATGAAGAGCAAGAGACCCCGGCTGGGGCCAACCATACTGGTTGTCCTTGCCGCCTTTCCACGTTTCTAAACAGTATTTTGGTTTTTGTTTTTTTTTTTTTTTTTCAGAGAATTAAATCCAAACCAAACAAAAAAATGTCTAGAAAATGACCTTCTGGACCCTGGGCCGGCCTGGGGTTGCCAGTGGGTCGCTGGGGTTGCCAGTGGGTCGTTGGGTGTAGAACTCCCTACCCTGAACAGCTGGGTGCGGCCGCCAGCGAGGGAACTAGGTGACCCTGGGGGCCGGTGGCGAATGTGTTCCCTGGACAGGAAAAAAAAAATGGTATAACCAAGAAGGCCCGTTCATCGGGGTTTAAGAAATCTAAAGTTTAAAATACGTTTCAGTATCTTTTTCTTTCTGAAACGCTGCTGCTGTTACGCCCGGAGCTCTGATAAGTGGCCATCGAGTGAACTTGAGTCGGTGGGGATGACCGTGTATGGTGACACGGATCCTCTCCAGGCCCCTTCCCGCCTGGGGCCCTGTTGGCTGCAGGGGTCCTGTGGGATTCGAATTGTGAGCTGCACGGGAGCGAGGCACATGTAGACCGGGCGCGGGGACAGGCTGCTCTCCGGATCAGGCCCCGCCAGGGTGAAACAGCGCGCCTCAGGGGCTCCCCTCGAGTCCAAGATCCCCTGGGAACTTTCGTGCAAGCTGAGCAAATTCCAAAACAGGAGAGGAAGGAGGAGCATTAAAAGACTGGAAAACAGAAAGGCTTCTGAGGCTCCGCCTGTCCACCTGGACACCTCCCCGACTTTCGCCAACCTCTGGGAATCTCTCTGCTTCGGGGGCCCTGACCTGCCCTCTTCTCCCCGGCTTTTTGTGGGCCTTTCAGGCCAGCTGGGGTGTGTCGAGGAAGAGCGCGGGATCCATGGCTAGTGTTTTGGGGGTATCACAAAGCGGGACGCTTCCCCAGCGTCAAGCGAGGCGGCTGGAAATCAGCACATTGCAGGGGGCAGGACTTTCTGTGAGGCTTAAATGGTTTTATTTTTAAATTAACTCACAAGAAAAACATTTTCCTTCCCATTTCCCCGTTTAGTTGGAAAACCAGACTAAAGAAAAGAAAACTCGAGACTTCGAACAAAACAATGATCTTTCCCTTCTTTTTGGTTAGGCAAACTTTTGAAGCAAAAAAAAAAAAAAGGGGGAGAGATTGGACATCTGGGGGGGAAATGTGCGTTCCCTTCCCAGCCGGGGGTTGCGGGGTCGGTCAGCGTCCGCCCAGGCGGCGCCAGGGTCCCCGTGCGGTCCCCACGGCCCGGCGAGCTTCGAGAGAAGCCACCCGGGGCTCAGTAGCTCGGAGCAAAGGAAATGTACAATGACACCTCTTGGACTTGCAAATAGATCGAAATTCACAGGGCTGGGGCCCCGCTCACGGCGCGCCCGGCTCAGCCTGTAAATGCTAACTCAGTAAACGCATTTGAGTACTAACTCTTGATTAGAAAAACATCTCACCGAGACACGAACGTTCTTAAATTTCCTTTAATACTGACTTGAGGAGAAGCATTCTTTCAAAACATTTGCACTCAGAGGAACTCAAACATCAACCACTTATTTTGGTACCTATTTACTAATAACCTTCGGAAAAACCCTTTCCAGTGAGGGGGGGGGGAAATTTGGTCACAACTCGCAAAGGAATCAGAAGGGAGCCGTTTGAAGCCCTGGTCGCGCACAGGGGCCAGCAGACGCCGCGCTGTCTGTCTTGGGAGCGGTAGGCGATCGAACTTAGGTTAAAATTTAAAGCACCTACATCCTGCTTCAGTTACCAGCCTCGTTTCCAGAGTTTTCCGCCGTCCACCTTTCCAAAAATACCGCCACGTTAACGCTGGGAACCTTCGCGGTGATAATAAATGACTAAATTGGACAAGAACGGCTCGGTAGCAATTTAAAATGCAGAAGTGTTTAGCAACAATTTACAACATTAAGAGAGAAGGGGGGGAGATGAATTATCGCCAACTTCCTCGATTGGGCGCCCCTTTATCCCCCGATGCTTCAGGGTCCTGCCCTCTCCTGCCCCTGGGAACCACAGGTTCACAACTTACAGCTCCAGGCGCGCAGCAGACCCTGGGAGCCCTCACCCGCGTTGGGCACCACATGTTACAGGGCACCTACCTACTCCGATCAGCTCTGCTGAGGTCCCTTCCCAACTCCAACTGGGAAAAAACCCCACAAAACTATACACACAGAGACAGACACACACATGCCCGCGCAAATACACACAGTGCTGAACCACTTTCAGGAAAACTGACCTTTAGTTTACCTGGAATGGGGGGATGGGCGTGGGAGTGCAAGAATCAATTCTCCCAAAACAGCTCCCAACTCCTGTCCTAATTAAATTCTCTCCCGGACTGTGTCGGAAGGAATTCTTCTTGTGAACGAACGTATCGGGACATATATCATGGGCCCCGCAGGAGACAAGCTGCGGCCCAGACCTCACTGACAGATCAGCGCTGATAACCCTGACGTTCATTTCCAATCACTTTGCCCGTCAAGGGCCCTATCAGTTTGTACACAGTTGTGATAACCGCGTGGAGGGAGCGAAGAAGGGGTGTGTTTGTTGGGAAGGGAGGGGAGTGGGTATTTAGGTCCGGATCCAGAGGAGGTGATCCTCACCCCCGCCTTTCTCCAAAGCCCTCTTTGCGTCTTATCTACCGTCCTCAGGGGACTCTCAGAGCAAAAGGGACATCCCCAAGCGGAGAGGGGACCCCGGGCAAGGTGGCGTGGAAGTATTTGAAGTACTGTCCACTAACCCTTAAGCACCCCGAATTCAAGATTTCCTAAGGTTAGTTGGGGAGTGGAACTTTCAAAAACTCAGAAATTGACATGTTAGATACTGCAGTTGAGAATTAGGGCGCAAGGCACGTGAGTTTCATCTTTTCTGGTTTTAGGAGCTGCAACGCCCGACAGCCAACACTGCCCCAGGGCCCCAGAAAAGATGGGAAAAGTTTAAGGTCAGTCACAAACTTGGGAACCCAAGGCTCCTTCAATGTGGAGCCAGGAGAGGGAGGCTTGCGATGTGGAACACTTTCCTCTGGAATTGAGTAAGGAGAGGGGGCGCGGGGCTGTGCACATGGGACCCTTAGGGTGCAGGGTCTCCCGACCCCCACGCCATGCGTGGGCGCTAACTGGTGGCGCTGGGGCGGGGGGGGGGTCTGTCCGGCCGGCTGGGACTGGCTGGCTTTCAGCCTCCTCGCCCCACCCCCGGCGTCTGGGGCCCGTGCCCCCCGGGTGGACCCGCACCCACCACGGTTCTACGCTCCGCCCGGCCCACGCCCGCAGACTGCGCGGCTTATTGTGCGCCCGGGGCGGCGCGCTCCCCTCCCCCCGGCCCTCCCTTCCCCACCCTCTTTTTTCTCCTCCCCTCGTTCCCTCCTCCTTCTCGTCGTCGTCTTCACCTCCAGCGCCCAGCTGCTCGCAAGAGTGCAGTTCCGACCCACAGCCTGGCACCCTTCGGCGAGCGCTGTTTGTTTAGGGCCCGGTGAGTCCAATCAGGAGCGCAGGCTGCAGTTTTCCGGCGGAGCAGTAAGAGGCGCCTCCTCTCTCCTTTTTATTCACCAGCCGCGCTTCGCAGACCCGGGACTCGCGCTCGCCCGCCGGCGGCTTCGGCTTCTCTCCGCCCGCCTAGCACCCTGAACCGCGACCGTTCTCCATGCACAGCGCCTGCTCGAGGTTCGGCTCCTTCTTTCTCTGCTCTCCCGCTGTGCTCCCCGCCACCCCGCGTCGCGCGGGCCTCCTGTACGCGGGCTCCCGGGCCGCAGTGGGCTCCGAGGCCGCCTCCCTCCTCTCCTGCGAGCGCTCTGGAGCGTCTCTCAGGTTCTCCGGACACCGCGGACCAACTTCTGGTGTCTTTTCCTCTCCGCAAAGCACTTATCTGCGCGCAGCCTTATCACCGAGTTATCTCGGCGCGAAGGGGCGGGAGCCAGCAGTCGCGGGCGGGCAGAGAAACTTATTTCTTGCTATCTAGCGCGGGTCTGGGAGAGGGCATTAATTTTAGTGTGGTTATCTCCCCTGAGCGGGAGAGATTTAGAAATGCAGCCCCAAGGAGGCCAGCCCGACTGTATTTCGCTTCCCACTCCCCACCCCTTTCTTTAAAGGCTCCTGTCATTCTTCCTGCTCTCCCCCTTTGGGGTGGCCTCGGCTCTGGGGCGGTCTCACGGCACGCCAGGCCGCTCCCCCTCCTCTCTTGCTCCGCTCCACCCCGCTACGTCGGAACCCAGGGTGATCTGCCCTGTCCGCCGCCGTGGATGACTACCGGGTGGGCCGGATGGGCGCGTGCGCTGCTGGCCTTGGACACGGGCGGTGGCCCAAGGGTGCCGCTCCCCGGGGGAGTGTGAGTCTCGCACCTCGGGCTGTGGCACCGGCTCTGTCTCCGGAGGGCCGGAGAGGCGAGTCTCCGCCCGGCGCCCCACCTACCCGAGGCTGCATGGTATTTCTCTCCGGGTCTCTGGTTCGCTCTCGTAGGCACAGTCCGGGAAAAACTGGGAGAGCCAGTATGAGAAAACGCGGCGGTTTCGTTTTGGGGGACAGGTTACCTCCCTTGCGCCGGGGGTTTTAAGCCCGTACCGTCCTACTGAGAAATTCTAGGCTCGGGGGAGGAGAAGCGTAGGGAGGCGGGCTGAGGCACTCGGACACGCACAGCTCCTTAAGAGTCCTGCGTTCCCTGGTGCGAGGGGGCGTGAAGGGCAGCTGCTGGGGAGCCGCGCTGATACCCTAGGGATCTGGCGCGCGTGGAGTAAGGCTGTTGGAGCGAAAGTGGAGGGCGAGGACGCAAGCAGTCCCGGTCTTCCAGGTCCTTGGCGGCTGCGCCTGCTCCCTCCCTTCCCCTTCGTCCTGGGCCGCGGCGGGATCTCCAAAGAGTGTCCTGAACTGCACAGCACAGTAGGGGTGAGGGGTTGGCCTCCACCCTCGCTAATCCAGGTGTTTTCTGTTCCCCTTCTTCCTCGTCAGGAGCTAAGAGCCATCTGGGAGCGGCGCGGGACTGTGGATGGCCTTGAATGATAGCAGCTGGAGCCTGCCAAAGCGTTTCGGGCCCGCGACTGCGGACGCCGGCGACTCTGGGGCCTTCGCTGCGCGAGAGCCCTCCACACCACCTTCCCCCATCTCCTCGTCTTCCTCCTGCTGCTCGCGGGGCGCGGAACGCGGCCTCGGCGGCGCCAGCGACTGCAGGACACCGCAGCTCGACCCGGAGGCGGCAGCCGGCTCCCCGGCCCGCTCCCTGCTGCTCAGCCCCTACACCTCCCACCCCTTCGGGGCGCCCCACTTACCTTCGGCGCCCGGGGTCGCAGGGCCCGGAGGTGGCCTGTCCAGCTGGGAGGACCTGCTGCTCTTCACTGACCTGGACCAGGCCGCGACCGCCAGCAAGCGGCTGTGGTCCAGCTGCGGCGCCAAGCTGAGCCCGTTCGCGCCCGAGCAGCCGGAGGAGATGTACCAGACACTCGCCGCACTATCCAGCCAGGGCCCCAGCGCCTACGACGGCGCGCCCGGCGGCTTCGTGCACGCGGCGGCCAGCTCCCCTGTCTACGTGCCCAGCACGCGCGTGGGCTCCATGCTGCCGGGCCTGCCGTACATGCAGGGCGCGGGTAGCGGGCCGGCTAACCACGCGGGCGGCGCCCCGGCGCACCCCGGTTGGCCGCAAGGCCCGGCCGACAGCCCCCCATATGGTGGCGGCGGGGGCGCAGTGGGAGGCAGCGCGGCGGGCCCTGGAGGCGCCAGCTCGGCCGCCGCGCACTTGTCGGCCCGCTTTCCCTACTCGCCCAGCCCGCCCATGGCCAATGGCGCGGCACGGGAACTCGGGGGCTACGCTGCCAGTGGTGCGGCCGGCGCTGCCGGCGTGGGCGGCGGCGGGAGCCTGGCGACCATGGGCGGGCGCGAGCACCAGTACAGCTCGCTGTCGGCGGCGCGGCAGCTCAACGGGACGTACCATCACCACGCGAGTGCCTACTCGCCCTACGTGGGCTCCCCGCTGACGCCTGGGTGGCCGGCGGGCCCCTTCGATTCACCGGTCCTGCACAGCCTACAGAGCCGCGGCGGAGCCCCTCTGCCCATGGGGCGCGGGCCCAGCGCAGGTAATGGGCGCGTCGAAGCGCAGGGTGGGTGCTTCTGGGCGGTTGTTGACTTCCGTCCTGATTTCAGCGCTTTCCCATCTGGATGCACAGAATTGGGACCTAGTACTGGATGTTTTTTTAGGCCTGTAACTGGTAGCGCTGATAGCGGGCAGCTAGTTTAGAAACCCACTCTGTTCCGGTTCACTGTAATACCGTGGAGCAGGACGTCCTGGGCACTTAATGGATGGAAAGGCGGTCGTGAATTGAGGAAAATAAGTTAGAAAAGGAAAAGACGGTTTGAGATGCTTTGTGCTGCAGTTTTAGGGTCTACGGATGATTCCTCTTGGGAGTATAATTTAGGGGCGTTTGGAGAACTTGATTCACCGGTTGCCTGCGCACTCGGTCTTAAGTGACGGGTGTGTGCATTTGAAGACAAGGACCCCAGGATACAGACATCCAGGATGGGCCAGCCTTTTATTAGCACTTCATCCTGAGGGAGGGCTGGCGGAGAGGGCCTGTGCCTGAGCCCCTGTGGCCCAGGCCATTTTCTTGAAGGCCTCACTGGGAGCTGGGATCCTGGAGGTTCAGGGGACCCTTTTCCCTTCTTAGGGTGTAGCATCATCCCTTCTCTCCCCTGCTTTTCAGTTTCTTATTCACCATATGCTCTTCCCTAGTCTCAGAGTGGGAGCATTTGGGAGAAACTGAAAAACAAAAAACAAAAACAAAAAGAAAACCACAGCAATCAGAAGCCCTAGAAATGCCACGTCCATGTGGGAAGTGTTCTGTTTTGCACACGCAGGGTGTTGTGAGTGAGGCTTAGCCTCCTGGGCAGTCACTGTTCTAGGAGCTGCCTTGCCTTGGCAGGCTCTGTGTTTTGTATTTTGTCTGTTGATCATCTAGCAGAGTCCTGAGGGAAAGATTTTTTTGTTCATTTGTTTGAAGGAGGGGTTCTGGGGAGCTCCTGTAGTCACAGAAGACAAGGAAAAGGGAGGGTTGTGAACCCAACTGTCCTAGTCCATGTCCTTGCACAGCATGTTAAACAGAGGGTGCCTCAGAATTCCCTTTAGGGACACTGGTTACTTAGTGGAACGTGGGGCATTGCTAACCTTGGGTCAAGAAAATTTGGAAACTTGAAAGTCAAGAAACTAATTGGCAAAGCTAAACTCTCTCACCAGCCCAATATTGGGAGGAGTCAGTGGTCATTGATAACTAGCTCTTCCTTTCTGTCTCCTGAGACTTTGCTCCCTGTTTCCTTCCCTTCCAAAGCAGCCTAGGAGACTTTGCTATCTGTGTGTGTAATGGCCATAGGGTACCACGTTAAGACTTTCTCTGTTGCCTTGAGGGCTAGCTATCAGCCCCTCCTTGAGCATAGGGACCCAAGTCTGGCTCCCTGGGGCTGAGAGACCGGGAGATGAGAGATCTTCAAAGAATGGGAAGTGGGTGTTGTGTGAGAGACTCCTTTTGTGTGTGGCCAGGAGTGCGGCAGAGAAGCAGAAGGCTGTGTGAGTTGGGTGGAGAGGCCCATGCAGTTTGAACAGGATCCGGGTTTCTAGAAAGCTCCTAGCTTGACTTTCATATTCCTTCCCCTCATCTTCCAGCCTGCCAGAAGACAGGAAGAGTAGGGTTGTCCCAGAGACAGAATTGGAGCTCTGATGTTTAAAGTAACTGGTGGGTGTGTGTTGTCAGGAGAGGTCCTTTTAGGGGCAGAATGATGCAGGTGCAGGAATGTTTTTATTTTAAACCGTTCACAAAGTTGGAGGTTCCCACCCCTTAACCTTTGGAGCAGGATGTTGTAAAATTAGAAGCATGTTTGGTAGACCAAGAGAAGCAGGTATTTAATAAAACATGGAGTGATTGGGGATCCTTTGCATAAAGGGTCCATTAGGAAACCAGGGGGTTTTTGGAGGAGAATGAGTTACGGACTTTGCGCTTGCACATGTCCGGGTGATCTGACACATTCTAGAAAGAACTTGTTCCTTAGCTCCCCTTCCCTACCTTCCTTACTAGATTTTGGTTTTCCACTTTGATTTTTTTTTAAAGGCCCCACTTCTTTGGAGACAGATTCCTTACTTGTTTTTGGCAAACACAGGGCTAAACTAAACCATGACCACTGGGCTTTCTCGGCCTGCAGAGTGTGGAGGCCTCTGAGAGACTTGCCGGTACACCTCTCCTAGTGATGCTCAGGACCCCCTAAGGTCCCTGGACAAAATACACACCTTGCTTTTCCCTAGGAGCACCAAGAAGTCACATTGAGTTCTGTGGTTTAGTAAGAATTGCACTATGAGCACAAAGGTACGCAGTTTGAATCAAACATGGGAGAAAGATGGGCAATCTCCGCTGAAAAAAGAAAACCAAACCCAAAACCTACTGTAGGGTCAGCTATGGGTTTGCTCTGTACTTAACAACCCAGATGCCATGGTGTTGAATAAGGAAAAGCTGGTGAACAAGCTTGCAGCACGAGATTTTGCAATTTTTTGTTAGACATACCTGTCTGCATTTTAATCAGAGATTAAGTAGCTGCAGGAAGAGTGAAGAAGTGTAGGGAGAGTGAGGGAGCAATTGGTTTTACTGAATTAAAAATTAGCAACCATTCTAGATTTTGTTTCTCCAGAGAAGATGAACTTAGTAGTAGTCTTTGGGTTTTCGGGTGACTTAATTAGTTCTACTGGGTAGAAGTCTTCTGGGAGTTTATTGTATTCGGCACAGGGCAAAGAAGCCAGGAGGCATTGGGCTGAGATTTCCAGGGAATGTCCCACTATATCCAGAGCACCTCTGATAGGTAACATTTTAAAGTCAACAACAAAGACAAATACCTTGTTTAACTTGTGTCCTTGAAGTCCTGAGCATTTTACTGATACCGTAGTCAATAGTGGCTTTTAGTGCAGAGAAGAATAAATCTTTGTCATGTGTGGCAAGCTGTAGTATTCCATGACAACTTTGAACTCGAGTTTGTAGGGTGCCAGTTGCTTCCACACTAGGAAGGAGAGTTGTTTTATAGGGTTAATAATAGCTAATGGAATTAAGAGAATATTTATTTATGCTAAAGTCACATTTAAATATTTTTACAACAAAAGGTTGAGTAGAGACACAAACTACAGGGGAATGGAAAGGAATGAAAGGCTCCCTAACATACATAATTATCTAAGTGTAATGTTTATTTACTTTAAAAATCAATACTGGAATACTCCTTTAAGAATGCTAATTTGGGATATTCAAGCCCTTTGTAATAACAAGGAATCTTAAGTAGCAGAAGGCACTGTTAGGTTAGGCACCATTTGTTAAAATGACTACATTTAATAAGCAACTAGTTCATTTTAGATTATGTATTTGTCCATCATTAAGCTTCTTGAGGTGAAGTAATGGATAATACAACCATTTACTTTTAAAAAACCGTTTACTTTTGAAAATGTGTAAAGCAGGCTTAGATTAGTAATGAATTCTGAAAATACCCAAATAGTAAGAGGACACATTTTAAGTAGGTTGCAAGTAGGTGGAAATTTTAAGTGTAGGGGGGAAAAACCCAGTTTAATTGAAAATTGCACTTAGTAATTTGCTCAAAGTATCAAACCATATGTAGAAATTTGCAGACACAATTAAGCATGACGAACATGAAGTTTAATCTGTGCCCTTGGTAAAGTTAGTACTTCCCCCTGAGCAGTATTCTAGGCAGTTGTTATAGGTGCCCAGGAACAGTATTTTCAGTTTGAGTTCACTTTTGGGCAATAGCAGATAATAATACTTTAAAGAAGCACCTGATACCAAAAAAGTGGTGCAGGTTATTCGCGTGTGTTTTTGAGCGAAAGTGAGCATCCATGGTCCGTGTTAATATTGTATTGCTCGAGCTTGACAAGTGGTATATTGTAATTATGATGGATTCCAGATTTGAAAAGCTTGGGAACAAGGAGTGAGGGAATCACAAATTGACCTACAGAAAAGGTTTTTTATTTCGGGCCCAGTTTCCTATACTGTCCCCTAGCTTTGAGATCCTCACTGCTCTGTTCAGAGGGTGCAGAGTTCTTGATCAAATAGGTCAGATCATCAGTGGCTAGGCAGTCCATCTCGGGCACTCGTTTCCAGAACGTGGGGGTGGGGGTGGGGAGAGATCCTTCAAGGATGACAGCCACAGTGTGTTCAGGGGAGAGGCGCTCAAGGCACCCCTGAACAGGGTCTCCCTTCTGTCCACAGATTTGCTGGAAGACCTGCCCGAGAGCCGGGAATGCGTGAACTGCGGATCCTTCCAGACGCCTCTGTGGCGAAGGGACGGCACCGGGCACTACCTGTGTAACGCCTGCGGTCTCTACAACAAGTTGAACGGCCTCAGCCGGCCCCTCATCAAGCCGCCCAAGCGCGCGGTGAGTAAGCCCGGCCACGCCGCTCCACCCTGCCTTCCACTCCGGCCTCTATGACCAGCCTGCGCTGCCCCGGGCTCGGCGCGCCCCGGCCCCGGCCCGCGCCTCTGCGGGCTCCACGCGCCCCTCTCCCCGCGTGTGCTCCGGCTCGCAGGTCGCGAGGCTGACTGCGCGCACGTAGATAGGAAGGTTTTTTACAAGTACTGTGCGTACTTGTAAAGGCAGCATCCGTCCTTTAAGAGGGAGGGAGGTGTTCTAGGATGCTTTTTTCTAAGTAGGTTTTTTTTTTTCCTTTAAATCCACATTTACATATAGTACTGAAATTCTAACACAGGAGACATTGTAACCTGGGGATAAAAACTGAGTTCCGAGGTCAGATGAAGGAAGGTGTGGTGTTTGGATATGTTTATATTTAAATATTAAAAAAGGAAGTGTGTGTGTGTTTGCAACATTTTCCAATTAGAAAAACAACCTGTTCTGTCCACCACAAAAGCACATTCTGCGTCCCTTTTACTTGGTCTTTTTGTACCATCTATCCTCTTTTTAATTTTTTTTTTTTAACTTCAAATTCCACATATCTTTTGGATTGCCCTTGAGCCAGGTGAAATTTATTTACTCTTACCTACTTGAAATCAACTATTTGAAATCTCACTGTTCACAGAACTACAAAGAATCTGGGGAGGTGGGGGATGCAATTTGTGTGTGCTCCGGTTTAAGACTTTTACCAAGCTGGGCATATTTTAATTTTACATGTTTTAAATTGAAAATTCAATTAGTTTGTTTTTTAAATATTTTAATCTGTCATTATATATACAGGAGATGGTATTTGCTGTAGTGGTTAGATGAAATAAATTATAAAGGTTCAATTCCCATTGTAACCCCAAGTCCTCATTCTGATACATTTAAAAGAATATATTTCACAGTAAGACTCCAGACATTTTTTTTTTTACTCCAGACATCTTAATTCTCTAATTTATTTAATTATTATACTCTAATTACCAAGAACAAACGCTACACATGTTTGTGTTAAATAGATTAGAAGGAAATTGCATCACATTGTAAGTCTGACACCTTAAGGAGAAGCAATTAGTTTTATGGTTTTGTTTTTAATGCATTTAAAATAAAGTGGCTGAGGTTAATTTAATGTGTATGCATGGTTAAATTTATTACAACCTCCCACAGCTTAAAATTTTCTTCAAAGGGCACCCGAAACTTCAGTGGGTGACTCCATGGTTTTCATTTTTCTCACATGCATCATAATTAGAACAACTAGTTCATGGAAAATGTTGAAGAAAGTTCCTTGTTCAAGGAAAGAAACATAGTATGTTAACCAGGGAGGAGAAAGGAAAATTGACCCGAGAGCTGAGAAAAGGTAACATTTTCTTAAGATTGGACACTTGGTAAAATAGTAGCCGTTTGCATTATAAATACGGCATTAGTGCCTTGTGTGTGTGTTCCCTTATGGGTAAAAATAACTGTTGCTGTAAAAGAAAAGTGTTTAACATTTCTGAAAAAATTCTTTCTGTGTGGCAGGTGCCATGGCTGTGATACCAATTGAAGGGTGTGCCGCTATCAATTAGTTCTCCTTATAGGCTTCTTATTTATGGTTTTGATGGGACTAACATAGTTCTCAGAAACAGAATATTGAACTGAAGTTTGTTTAGCCAGCAGTCCAGAACCAATCACTATGAATTTGAACTTGTAATGCATTGCAAAATGAGAGGTTTATGGTGTAACGTGAATTCCTGGCCACTGATGAGTACAGCTGAGATCACTTGCTACAAGGAACTTTTATAACCCACTCACCTTCATTTCACATGTTTATGAGAGCTGGCTTTACTTATGATATGCAGTTGACAGTCATAAAGCTCTTTGTTATAATGACAAATTCTGATAACAAATTTACCTCATTGACTCCAAATTCCACGGGGAAACTGTCATAAATGGTCTCTTTATAAAAGAAACCTTCCTATCGGCTTGTTTATTGATTTCATGTTTATGAAGACATTGGAGTGCTCTTTTAGGAAATTATTTTAGCCATAAAGAGGAGAAAAAGAAGCTTCATGTGTAAGATTTTGTTAATGTTTGCTTTCACTGTTTTAGTAAAGCAGTTCCTCAAATAGTGTTAGCCAAGCACATTCATTTCCACCAAAACTCACATTGATTCCCCCCCCCCCCCCCGCCCCTTAACACTTACTTAGCAATGAAATGGTATAGTGTTAAAAGGTTTACCAGCGTTTCTTTGTTTTTATAACTTGTCTGGAAAGAGTACTGCTAAAGTGATAAAGTAAGATGGGAATTGTAAATGCAAAACCTCGATTTTGTCTTTGAAATTTGCTGGGGCAGAAGACTTACAAATGTCTGCCCCCTAATTTGGTTAACATCCTAATTTATGTTTACACTATCCATTTTTCACAAATTCCTTAAGATGAATATTAGTATAGCTGGTATCCAAATTTTTTTGTACTTTTCTATTCATAGATTTTTTCCTCCCCATCATCTCCCCTTCCTGGAGTCATTGCACACATTTTATAGTTACCAATATAGGTAATTTAAATACATACCATATTTTACTATGTGGGAGAATAAATATTACTAGTTTATCATTCTTTATACTTAATACATAATACCTTACAGAAAAATACATATCCCTAAGGCTGCTCTGTAAGAGCTCTGACAGTATAGTGACTGCTAACCCAGAGGTCAGTGGGTTGAATCCACTAGTGTTGAATCCACTCATTGAGACTCAGTTTCAGAAACCCAGTGGAGCAATAGAAGTCAGTGGGTGGCTAAAGCTATTATGGCCATAAAGGAAATGTGGAAATAGGAATTGTAGTTGTTCCTGTTAATGCCAGTTAACTGAACAAAATAGCAGGGCAAAAAACCACGTCAGCATTAAAATATTGGTGTAAAATTTAGGATCTTGGAAAAAAAATTGTGAAATAAAATTATAATTACAAAATTAATAAAAAGATGCCTTTTTAAACAAAGTGGGGTTTTTTTTTCTTTACAAAGTTTTTGAAAACTTGGTCAAGTACGTTTTATAAGTATACGTCAGACCTTTTAAATCTTCTGCTGAGCAGTGAGCACCACTTTAGAACAGTGGTGGTAACTGGTGATTGCGTTCTGAGAATGGCTGGTGACTCGGGTATTTCAGACCTGTGACCAGGCTGTCCTTCACTTGGATGGCAAGCACTCCCCTGCTGACTGACTACCCATTGCATTGTTATTTCTGGTGTGTGTTGGGATAGATTTTTAGTTGGGCAACCAAGTAGAAAAATAAAGCCAATTACCATTTAGATAATAGCAGTAGTTAGGGAACTCTTCTCAATTTTTGGTGAATAAACCATTAGTGATAATTTCCCTACAATGCTAGTTCAGCTTTTTCAAGTAGAGTTATTGGCTAGCGTTAGTGTGATTGTTTCTCAGCTATTTCTTCCAGAATCTGTGGTCATATACTTGATTAAGTAAAATGTTGAGGGGGGAGGTTGTGTGTGTTTTTTTCCTTTTTTTCTTTTTTAATATGGATCACATGAAACACATGGATTTGGATTCAAGGTCAACCTAATTACCCTCCTTACCCTAATTACCTAATTTCTTTAAAGGACATAAACCCAGACACTTTTTATTACAGCACCACGAGAGTATGAAGAATAGATATAAAAAGAGTTTCTATTTTTGCGGTTAACCTTTCTTGTGTTGTTTTCCTAGCCTGCATCTCGGCGGCTTGGATTGTCCTGTGCCAATTGTCACACCACAACCACCACCTTGTGGCGCAGAAATGCTGAAGGTGAACCTGTGTGCAATGCTTGTGGGCTCTACATGAAACTCCATGGGGTACGCCATTTATCCTGCTTATGGTTTTATGCTGTTAGTGCCCTGTTTGTATGAGGTGGTCTTAGTTTTAAAAAGTAAAGTTTTTAAAAGTAAAGAAAAAGTAACACTTGAACTTTTAAAAGTCAAATATGTTGAAATATGTGCTTCTCTGTATCCACAATGCTATTAATGATATTAATGCTATTACTAGTACCTTAAGGAAACAAATAAGGAAAAAAAATGCCTTCAGCTAAACCAACATTTAAAAAAATTTAAAAGTAAAATGCGTTTTTAACTTGATAACAGAGCAGTAACCCTCTTATTGTACATCCTCAGAAGAAACAAGAAACCAACTATAAATGTATAAAACTGGTGTAGATTTTAAACTTTTACAATTTGACAATAAAACTTTTTTTACAAAGAATACATCTAAAAAATTATAGTTTTCTAGCTGGAAGAGAACAAATGCTTTCTTTTTGAAGAAATTATTTCACTGCTAGCATTTTCCTTTCTTAGAAATGATTTCTTGTTAGAGATCTTTTGTTTAGTGGCTTTACTCTAAAACGGAAATTAGTTTTAAAAATGGTAACTATTAAATGGAAGCAATACATCCTCCCTGATAAATCATTCTGTTTTCTCAAAAATAATATATGGTTTTTAGGGGTGGCAATGTAGGTACTTCAGCTATTGAATATCTGGGGGGGGGGATGGAATTGAAATGAATAGTTTTAAATTTAGGCTCTTTGTACTAGTGTTGGGTATTAGTTTGACTTTTCAGCAAAATATTTATTAAACATAGCATACAAATAAATATCCTAGGTGCCTCGACCACTCGCTATGAAAAAAGAAGGAATTCAGACCAGGAAACGAAAACCAAAGAATATAAATAAGTCAAAGGCTTGCTCTGGTAAATATTCTAAAATACTATTTAATTGTCAAGTATGTGCCAACTTTAAAGGTTTAGCAAGTGTGTATTCATAAGGTTAATTTTAACCATTGCAGGTAATCCCATTCCTGTGACTCCAACTCCCACCTCTTCTAACTCAGATGATTGCAGCAAAAATACATCTCCCACGACGCAGCCCACAGCCTCTGGGGTAAGTGTTACTCCAGAGTGGCAACACTGAGGAGTCCAGGGCACCTAGTGGGTTGTTCTCTGGTGCATTATCTTACATTTTATCTTATCTGGTAGTACAATAATCTAAACCAACATTCAGTTTAGTTAGCTGATACTTAAGAATAGTTTTAAAAGGAAATAACATTTAAATATAAACAAAATGACAAATGTAAGTACTTTACAAACCTCTTAAGATCTATATCATTTTTATGGTTAAATTAACCTAAATAAAAACCCCTACATTTTGATTTGAGGGTCTTAAATTGTTTTAAGGTTTTTAATCAAGCTGTTACATACCTTTTCCTAATAGATAGGGAAACTACCAGGCCAGGGGTTCCCTTAGCCCAGTGGGGAAGAGGTGACATTCAAACTTGATTTTTCTTATCAATGCCAGCTATTTTTCTTTTTCTTTTTATCACTAATCTACCCCAAAGCACAGCTCATCATAATATGATCACTAATGATGACCTATCTTCCCATTTAGGGATTTTTTGTAGGACTCTAATTTAGCTCTAAAGGGCTTGAATTGTACCATTCCAGCAGAAAGCCGAGGAGTGGGCAGTGTGGGACTTTGGGAGCTGCCCCGTGTCTTTTGTGAAGATGGTAGTTTCTGGGCAGAAGTCATATAGACTGGTTTTCTTTATAAGTAGGTAGCAGGGTTTTCCCCACCCTCCTGTTGCCTGAATTCACAGGGAATCCTCTTCAAAAACTGATCAGGCCTCTCCCTAGATCACAGATTGTGGGTCAGACAAAGGTTATGATTTCCATAATACTTAGGAATGTTCAGTTTTTTTGCTCTGCAATTATTTGTAATGTTTATATATGCTTTCTACTTTAGATTTGCCCATTTCACATCTCCTTAGCGTCTTTGGGGGCTGAAGGTTGGGGATTTTCTCAATCAGTACAGCAGGTGAAATTGAAACCCCTGCTTTGCCTTGGAGCTGTTGGTGAGCTAGTTTGGGAAACACAGACCCTGGCATTTTCACAGCTTTTAAACAAACAACAAAACCTTACATTTATTATTTCAAACTCAAACTAGAAAAACTCTGCCTGATCTCTTTATCCTTGTACCTAAACACTTCTGAAACAAGAAACTAAACTAAAAAGACACTAATATAATGTAAACAAAAGAATTTTCACAAAGGAGAAGCTCTTTTCTCTGTTCCACGAGTAGGTTGAAGAGTGTTTCTGGTCTTTTTATAAAAATGGACTCTGGTGTACATGGTTTTTCAATAGCATAATAGATGTTAATTTAAAAAAAAAATAGTGCATATGCCGAACTAAAAGATGTACAATTATTATAAAATGTTCTTTTCTATGCACTAAGTTCACAGAAGCAATGTTTTGGTTTTCCAAAGGCCCAAAGAGGCTTTTGGCCTTGAATGTCTGCTTCTCTCTTTACTGAAGAGAGTGGCTACCAGACTCTGGTCTCTTTGGTAGGATGGTGCATTTTACTGAGACTAAAATGTAATTTATAATGACATGGAGATATTTGCCCAACAAGTGGATTTTGGACACTTGGAGCCTTTAATGGGTAGAATCTGTTTTGCTTAAGGGGTTTTGTGACAGAAAAATTTGTTTGTTAGCCAGTATAGTCAGTTGGTCTACCATGGAAGGGGAGACATTCCCTCATGGAATGGTCAGAGGGGTCTCCAGACCCTTCTCTGGGCTACCTTTGCTCTCTCCAGGGAAGGGGGCGTATAGTGGTATGTGTGAGGATCATCATCTTAACATCCAGCCCCTTCCTCTAAAGTTCATGAAGGGACCTCCTCCAAGGATCTACCTGAGACTGAGCAGGAGGGGCCTGAGTGCCATGTGGGCAGGAGCAGATTAGGGAGATTAGGGAGGTTACACTCAAGGTTTTCTGCTGGTGAGGGACCTGGGCAACCTGCTCAGACTTGGAGCCTGGGGCTGGTTGGAGGGAGCTGCCGTCTCAGAAAGCGCAGTGGTGGAGCTTGTCTGCCAGTCCTTTCTACCTGACTCCTCCAGGCCCACATGGGGTTTCACTGCTGGGGTCTCTCCCACTGGTGAATGGAGTCCTTGGTCATTTCCATCTGCAGGCCCCACAATGTACCTCAGCATTGGGCGGTGCCCCTCTGAACCTGCAGTAGGTGGCAGGAGCATTTTTAAAAGACTGCTGTGTGGGCAGGGTTGGTTTTTTTAAAAAAATCTTTTATGGCAAATGAACAGTAATCTTTTGTGACAAATGAAGAGGCATTTAAAAATTACAGGGAAAAGATTATATGAAAGACTTGTAAAGACTGTAATAAATGTAATTGACAACTTTTGTGACAAATGAACAATATTTAGATTTTTTATAATTTCAAAATGGTTTTTATTTTGTATTATGTTGTATACACAATTCATATACATTGTGTTTCATTTATTTATATTGTGTTTTACACATTCCTCTGTTCACATTGCATTTCACAATGCCATTCCTGTACATAATGTTCTATAAAATTAATCTCCATTGATCTCATCTCCCCATTACTGTTGCAGGGCAGTTGGCTTTGTAACTGTCAGTAGGTTTTGGTGGGATCATTAGAGAGGGGAGGGAAGTGGTAGCTCCACATGGTGAGGCTGTATTCAGAAATGAACACATCACATAGCAAGTTCAGAGCAATGCTCCTTGATCCTTAATTGCCACCTGTGACGTGGTAGATGACGAATGCTTGCTATCCTAGTTCAGTAGGTGCAACCGAGCTACAAAACACAACCCAATCAGGCTGTCAGAGTGGAGATGGGACCTTTGGGTCACACATTCTTCCACTTAGAGATCCGAATGAAAACCTGTCTGCCTTTTCTCAATGATTATGAGTTATAGAGGTGCTTCTCATTTAATTTTTAAGAAGTTTCACCAATGGATGTTCTCAGCATGCTGCTTCTAAATTTTGATGCTGGAAGGAAGGGAACCCTGTTCTGGGCCTGCCTTGCCTGTGGGCACATAACCATGTGGGGGCCATGTCTCCAGCTTGGCTTGGCTTCTGGGCTTCCTGGGTCAGGTGAGAGAGCACAGGAGCTGGGTGTCTGGAGCAAGGCGCCAGGACTCCCCTGCCCAGGGTGGAAGAGGTATGGGCAGGATGCCCTGCACAGGCAGGTAATCTTCCAAGGGCAGGTGTGGAAATCTGGACTTTGAAGTTTAGTTGACTTGCTTTTCTTAGCTCTATTGTTGCTAATATATGTCTTAGTTAGATTTTGAGAAAAGCAAGTCCTTCCTTCTGATAGTTATGAGACCAGTAACCTGAACAGTGACCTGATGTGATAGCTCATGACTCTATTTCTCTTTGCTTTCTCCATTTCTTTGTGGTGGGCTGCACCTGTGTGTGAGGTGGGATGAGGCCTGCCTGCTTCCTGTTTGGATCAGGAAGACTTGCTGAAATGAGGCCTGCCATGGCCATTCAAAGTAATCTTGGAATTCTTGGTGTTTATTAAAATACGCTAAACTTAGTTTTTGTCAATAAATTCGTTTGTGACTTTTAAACAGGTGGATTTCTTGAAATAGGAATTTATTCTGGGTATCTTTTGGGGTATATATACGATGTAGATTGTTTACATGTGTGTGTAGTTTATCTAGGTAGATGGAACAGTTGGCATTTACAATTGTGGTTGCTATAAGAATGCTAAAACTTTTTTTTGTGGAATTCATTCATTGATTTAGTAATATTTTTTACATTCTTTTGCTCTTGCTTTTTAAGGGAGGAATATGGTAATAAATTTCCACAATTCCCAAATAAGATTTAGTAAGTATTCCATTCCATTTGTGATTTGTAACTAAACATTCATAAAACTGGAGGATACTTTATAGCTTCGTTCTCAACAAATACTTGCTTTTAATTGCCTTTATGATAGGGAGGATTAATTTTGGGATGAGTTAGTCATAAGACTTGCTGTCTGAGAATAAAAAAGTCATGATATACTTTACTGGCTTGAAGATAGCGTGTAGGAATAATTTCAGAACAAATTCAAACCTACTTCTATTAAATTTGCAAGTATCATAATGTTGAAGCATTATTAAGCATAGATTATTAAAATATGTGGTGATTCTATGTCTGACTAGCCCTTGCATTATTCTAGTTAAGAAGCATTGCATGAACATTTGCTCAAATGATTGATCATAATGGAGAGGTGAACATAATGTAGAGGTGAATTCCATATTTGGAATTAAATGAGCCACAGTGTACTGTGGGAGGGATGATAGATTCTGATTGTCCACTGTAAATAGCTTTACAGGGTGGGTGAAATCTGAAACAGTCGAGCAGAATTTTTAAAGGTAGAGAAATAGAGGCTGTAGATCTTTGAAAAAGAAAGAACAGCATGGGTGCCTTTGGCACTTAGGGAAATAAAAAAAGCTGACAGCAGGAGAAACTGTTGGAAGAAGTATGTGGGAAGTAGATGGTTCTTCGTAATGAAATTATTACCAAGTCAGCCTTAAGGAGGACCCAAATCATATTTATTTGTAGAAGATGGGTATTTATTGAAGTTCTGTCAGTGTGCTATGTTGTGGTGTTTTTTTTTAGTAAGAACTGCCCCATATCTAACCTCAGTGGGTCTTAAGAGATGGTTGATCACATGGGCGGGGATTGCCCATCTTTATCCAGGAGTAGCTGGTAGGTTTAAAACATGTACTTGTGGGTTGACAGTGCAATTCCTTATCCCTCAGCCACCAGAACTCCCTATTAGCGTACTATAGGTTCCATCAATTAAAAATGTTCTTAAATTTAATACTGATGATCAATGTAAACAAGTATTTAGAGCTGCCTATTTTAAGGGGATTTTCTATCAGCAACAGTTTCTTCAGCACTGACTACACATACTGACCCTTATGCATAAAATGTGAGTGCAAAATGGGTGACCCTGGAGTGCATTATGCTGAATAAAATATCTCAGTAACAAAAAGACAAGTACTGTGTAGTACCACTGTTGTGGAATGGGACTAACATCCGGGTTGGGGTAAGACTGAGAAAAACTGGATAGATG